AGTAGAGAACTTGTCCCTTGTAGTAATGTCTCAAGGTTCCTAAAACCATACTGTAATTCTCCCCAAGTTGCCATGAACTAATTCAGACTTCTTCGATAAGATCAATTAGCCAGTTCCCTAAAGCAGACTTAGAAAAGAAAATGATAATTTGGTATATTTCTCAAATTAGGAAGTTGTGAGGTAATTTAAATGTTTTTGAATTGATTAAAACTACTTACTCAAAGTACATAATATCTGCATTTGTAATAACATGAATTGTCTTCCTTTTTAAAATGTAGAGTTTACCTATATTAGTTATAAGTACAAACAAAAAACATTTTTCCTATCTGGTAGAGCCTTGCTTTACATAAGGAGTAAAGACATTGTTATTTGTTAGTCACTCCATCTCAGTGTGTGGAATCACAAAGACATAGTTGATATAAGCTATATATTCATGAAACACAACCCGGGCTCTACACTTGAATACATTTTTAATTAAATTTACTGTCATCTAAGTATCTGTATAGAAAAATCATTGTTTGTATTATTATCTTTGATCATGATCTTATATTTTACTTTTTGATCATTATTTTTGCTTCCTGCCTGTTTCTATTTCTCTAACACCATGCTGTTTCCCTCATTCTCATTAAAGGTTGATCCTTTCTAAAGGAATATATTTTTGACCCTGATTTCTCAGAGTCTCGGTCTTGTGTTTCTTCTTTATCTGCTGTCTTCTTTTCTTTTTATATGCTGAAATTCTATTTTCAGTGAGCTAAATTGAAGTGACAATGTTTAAAAAACTTAGGTGGTATTGATGGTATTAAACAAGACATCTAGCAGGACATTGTTATACTTCTTACTGTTTGTTGCACTTGCTCCCATCTCTGTGGCACATCATTTTTTAAAGGTAGGGCTTCTTGATTAACTCAAAATTCACCGATTCAGCTAGTTTAATTTATCATCTTGAAACATTGCTTCCCTATTTCCACCATCCAGATGATGGGGTTATAAGTTTGCCAAAATTTCATGGTATCTGGAGATCTCAAGTCAAGTTTATGGTAGTTTGAATGAGAATGGCCCCCATAACCTAATATATTTGAATGGCTGATTTCCAACTATTTAGAATTAATTAGGAGATGTATCCCTATTGGAAGAAATGAATCACTAGGTGTGAAATTAGAGGTTTCAAAAGTCCACACCAGGCTTAGTCTACCTTTCTCTGCCCCCAAATTAAAGATAACTACAAGCACTCATCTACTGGCCTAGTACCATGCCTACTTAAATGCCCATTCTCATGGGCTCATCCTCTGAAATTGTAAGCCAGCCCCCAATTAAATGTTTGCTTTTAAAATTTACCTTGAAAATGGTGTCTCTTCACAACAATAGAACAATAGATATCTTTCATGTGTTTAAGTGGCAATGAATTTAAATTCTGGAGTAATTTTCTGACCCCCTCATGATTATAACATTTATTATTCAAATGTTGAGAAGTTGAGAAAAATCATCTTTAGCTATATACCTATTCTTAGGCCAGTCTGGCTATGCGATATACAGGGACTCTTTTTTAAAAATGGGGGGGTGGGGGTTAAGCCATTGAATGTCATAGGCAAACAATAGTCTGTCAAGTACTTACCTAAATGCCCTATGCTATACTTACCTTGTAACAGATTATTTTGAGTCATGGAGGTTAACAGAGGTGAGAGTTTAAGAAGTGGAAATTGGTGACATTTAAATTTTAAAAATTGCATATTATGTGTGTCCTCACATTTATGCATTAATTTACTGTTTTTAAATAACATGTATTAAGTCAGAACTTATCTTTAATTGCAGTCTTATCATAGATCCAATTTTGTCAAGCTATAAAGGCCCTGATCTTAAAATTGTTAAATGACCTGGTACCTAATGTAAAGCAATGAGCATTTCTTATAAAAGGCACCTGTACTATTTTTCTCTCTGTATAATGTTAGGATGAACAAGGCTCTGCTATGGAGAAGTGATGAAAGGAATCAAACTTTATTATATTTTGATGACCATATTTATGGTGAGGTGACATGAATGAATTCCTATGAGCATCAGACATAGAACAAGCCTGTATATTCTTACTGTTTCCATGTTCCTCCAGTGAATTAACTAAGCCAGTGTGAATCTGAGGAAAAGAAAAGATAGAATACAGAGAGATATCCCTGAAGGAAAGGCATGAGAAGCATTCATACTAGAGAGAGTACCAGTCAGACACCTGAATGTTAGGTTATCTGAATGTCAGGAAAATCTCAAGTCTTTTTGAAGAAATTTGATTCTTTTCCAAGAATTTTACAGTATCTCCTCAAAATGTAAGATCATAAGTATACCTGCAGATATGGAAAGTAAAAATCAAGGATGGTGCCAAAAAGAAGCACTTCAAAATGTTGACATCCAGGTTGCAAAGCACAGATTTCTTCACACAGCTGCCTTGTAGATGTGAAACAGAAGAAAGGTAGACTCAGGGTCTTGTTACAGCTTATAGACAATGCCCTGCTCAATGCAGAGCACAGAATCTGTCTAAATTTATTTGAGCTAGCAGTGAACTGAATGTTACTCAATATATCACTAACTCAACTTTCATTGCAAAAAGAACATAAATCAAATTAGCTTCAACAATAGAAGTCACAAAGGAAAGAGAAGCCTATACCTTAATGTAGTTTGTTATAAATATTTTAGCCTCTACTTCTTTTCTGCACATACTGTCTCATGTAATAATAAAGTGCATCATTGTATACTCACATCACATAACATGTCAAAAAATAGATATATTTCACTCAAATGTAAAAGCATGGTAAGAAAGAGATGTCAAAATTATCCCACTAGAATTTCATAATACAAGTGGAAAATAAATGATCCATGAGTTATTGAGTAACATGCATGAACAGAGAGGAACATTTTAAATATAGTTAAAAAAGGAGTATATTAAAAGTGCAGACATGAGACACCAGAAAGGAAAATGCCTTTGAGTGATTGAGCATCATTTCCACACAGCAGAGGATGGGGTATTGGATTACTCCTATATTACACTGCAACACATCATAATGTTAGCAGCTTCAAACAGGATATTTATTATTTCAAGGTTCCTTGTAGAAGGACCTTGTTTTCAGTTTCCATAATTATTTTGCTTGGGCATTCAAATGAACAGTGTAAGCAGCTCCTCTCTTAGAATTGAGTCACTACCAAACTCCTTCAGATTGCTCACATCTCTTTCCCTTAGCACTAGAAGATTCATGGAGGTTTGCTTCTTCCAAGCCTGCCTTTTGAATGGGTAAAGAGAACAGTTCGAGAGATCAAGGGAAAAGGGACTCAACGGTTACTACAGACTTACTTGTCGTATTCATGATGGTTAGCTGTAAGACCTGTAGGCATAAATTTTTGCAACTTACTTTTAATAAACATTCAATTTCTCCTCTTGCCCACCACCCAACCATGATAATGGAAGAGAAAAGTTATTAGGATATGGGAGAAGTGGACCTGTTTAGCAATAGTTCTTTGAGGGTGGGCTCAATCTTCTTTGGCAACAGTTCATTCCCTTAGCACACATCAAATATGGCTCAACAGAGCAGCTACAGACAAGTCCTTTATGTGAGGCAGACACAACCCATGAACCAGCAGCTTCAGTCCTGTTCTCTAGGCAAGCAGACACCATGCAGGAACAAGAAGCTTCATTTCAATCCTCTAAACAAGGAGACATCGTGCAGGAAAATGAAGCTTCAGACCAGTCCTCTAGGCAGACAGACATCGCACAGGAATCAGAAGCTTTAGTTCAAGCCTGAAGAAATTGCAAGGCTTGCCAACTGGCCTGAAGCAAGGCCAATATTTCAGGTACCTCATGAGAAGTTCTGGGGAAAGTTTCTCTCAAGGGCAGAGCTCAACAAAGCTATGTAGGGCAAATCAATACATATGTGGCATTAATGAAGAATAGTAAGGTGGAGGTAACCAAACCAATGCTCAGTGTTCATCTCCCACTGTCTGTAGGGTCATACTTATACTCTGTCATCATGTGTGTCCTTCCATGAGTTTGCTATATCAAGACATCCTTTCACCTGTGTGTGTTTCAGGAAAACATTCTTGCACATGTCTCCTCCAGCAAAACATCCTTTCACCTGTGTGCCCCTTTGACATAACTGAATTTTCAAATGAGCCAGAAGTTTCTACTTCATATTATACTTTTGCTCAAGGCCTAGGGAAAGAGAATTGGATGACAGTGGAACAATCAAAGGAAGGAACTATTGGACCGTGCCTCCACTTTGTGCCTAATTAATGAGCTAATGTAAAGGCAAGCTAAAACAAATCCACATTGAAACTGAGAAGGATATTTCACCATCCAATAAGCACTATTAAATTATATAGACAATATGAACATAAAACTCCCAAATGAGAGGCAAGAAGGAAGGTTCCACAAAAATCGCCAAGGGATAACAGCCAAAGTTTTAAAATTCTGGTAAAGTTGAAAAGCAAACACTGCAGTCTCTAAAACCTCAGCAAATATTATTCAAAATGAACACAAAGATAAAGAATGCTAGTTACATTATCTGTACTATACTAAGAGAAATTATCAAATAAAGATACAGATAAAGTTGAAATTGGCCAGAGGGTGAAAAATGACATTTCAATCAGTGACACTGTGATTATGTATGATAGCCATGTGCTCATCAGCAGAGACAATGTAGGCCAGAAGACAATGGAGGAAAACTTTCAAAGTCCTGAATAAATAAAAGCGTTGGGATCTGGAATCCTGCAGGCAAGGAAAATATGCTTCAAACTTGCACGTGAAATAAAGACACAGTGAGACTTACTAAAGCTGTGAGACTTTGTCTTGAATTACAATAAATGAAAAGCATCATTAATCTTAAGGGAGATGCCATCAGGATTTACCCAAATGGTGCAGTATGGTTTGAAGGACATCAAAAAGGAGGGATATGTTACTAAATGAAGAAGATATTTATGTATATTTAAACTTTATTCAGTACTCATTGACTGTAGAAACAAAAGCAAAGCCTGTCCCTAGAGGTATTGCTGGTGGGGCTTCTGTGTCACATATATGTCAGTAGGTAACAGAGAGGAGAGAGGTTTTGTCTACTATGCTCAGTGTTCTGATTTATGACATACATCAGAATGATTAGCAATGAAACAATCCCTGAAAAAAGTGCCGGAACAGCACTGATTGTGGAGTTTGCAGATGACTGGGCCCCAAGGACATGAGCATAGGAAAGCCTGTCCCACCTCTTGTTTGTTGGGAGGTGGTGAAGACAAGGGAGAGATTCCCTACCTTCTTTGTGGTAGGCAGGAGTGTTGGGAAACCCTGCTACTTAAGGTTGCAGTCGGCCATATGATCATAGCTCCTCTGAGCTCAGCACAAAATGGAGCACTCTTTCTTGTCCGCCAGGACTTTCTCTTTTCTGACCTTGTCTAGGAAGCCTTGTGTGCTCCCCAGGACATCCTGAGGGAGAATGTGAAATGAGGAACCACACAGAAGAGCTTGCCTCAAAGGATCATGGGAGTTTGAGAACTGTCCCTGCCCCTCACCTGCTGCAGCACTCAGGAGAGCAGACCACTACTTCATTGGGGCAGCACAGTAGAGATGACCCTGATAGCAGAGTGAATGGGTGAGCTGACTCTGAGGATCTTTTCATGGAATAGTTGGCCCTGTGGCAGCATGGTCAAGTGAGAGATGCCTTCCTCCACCCTTGCCCCTTACCACCTACAGTAGGCAAAAGAGCTGGCCCTAGGGTCATGAGATCCAGAGAGCTGTCCTTGCCTGTCTCTTACTGCAGTACTCAGGAGATCTTGTGGGTCCTGCGTGTCTGAAGACTTTCCATGAAGATCTCTGGCCTGGCCAGGTTCGAGGGTTCAGGCCAAGAGGATAGATGCGAGCAGGCATTGGGAATTGCCTCTGCTGCTTTCACTGCTGCCTCTACCTGCTGTCACCACCTAGTAGGGGTTGCACCTGTTGCTATTCACTGAGCCGGTCAGGGCCAAGCTAGTAAGAAGCGGACTAGTTAGCAAGGAGCTTCGGGAGAGCAGATCGCCTCCCAAGTGGTATTATTAGAGCTCTTGTGACAGAAATTTTTGGATGATGGGATGATTCTTGCACACCTTTACTTCTCCTGAATAGGATTCTTATATACAGTTTTGGGGTGGGTTAGGATCTGGCAGCAGGTAAGTCCTATTGGCTTGGTCTGAAAGCTTGGAGATACCTCATCTACATGTGGGAGAGCCTGAGGCACTGTCCCTAATTGACTGATGGCCATAGAACTCTCTGTGGGAGGGGCTGTGGAGGGCTGAAGCTAAGTGAGAGGAACCAGGGGGCCCAGGAGCACCGTCAAACTCGTACAGTTCCTTTAGGGTGTCCAGTGTTTGAAGCAGGCTCAACTAGGTAACTGGCTGCCTCTCACATACCACCATCCCCACAAGATCTGGCTCTGTACATTGCCTGGGTATCACAGTAGAGAGCTGGCCCTGGACATGCATTTTGCATGTGAGCCATGCTTGAGAACATGAGTATAAAAAAGAGAGGGCCCTGCCTCTTGTCTGGTGGGAGGTGGAGAAGACTGTGTGCCAAAGATGCATATTTTAATACCAGTAGAGTCAGCAATCTTAGACACTTACCACAACTATAAACAGCGAAGGGACATAAACATGAAAACATAATACATTGTACACAATGAAATACTATTCAGTTGTGAAGAAAAAATGAAATTATAAAGTTTGAAGACAAATGGCTAGAGTCACAAGATAATCATCCTGATTGATGTAACCTAGACCAGAAGAGCCAAATAATCTCTTTTTTTTCGTACATGTGCACGTTACTATTAAAGCATTTGATATATGTGTAGCCATCTCAGTAAGGACAGAAATTAAATATCTAGTAAGAGACCAAACTGGAGATTAAACTCTCTCTATGGAAGCAGAGTATAGATTTATGGAAGCAAAAGGGAGAAAATTGAGTAGGAGAATTAAATAGGGAGAAAGGATGGGAGGGAAGGGTAAAGGCAGGCATATGGAAGGGACAAATAACATTAATGCCATTTGAGGGACAGTATGGAAAGTTACTACTGCAGAAGCTTACAAAACTATATACACATATGAGAAGAATCTAAATGGAGTTGAGGCAATGCCTCAAATAGACATCTTATAACAGGGATAGTTATATCTTCTTGAATCATTGGCGAAAGCACTATGGAAAACCTCCCAAGCAGTATAACCTCTAGCCAAGACTGTTTGTTTTATCTCTGACCTCTTTTAAGGACTGAAGGAGCTGAAAGGATTTATGGCACCATGAGGAGAGCAACAATACCAACCAACCACAGCTCCCAGGGTCTAAACCACCAGCCTGGGAGCACTTAGGGGGGGGGATCCAGGGCTTCAGCTGAATATGTAAAAGTGGAGGGCCCTGCTGGGCATAGGTGGAAAAAGAGAACCTTGACCTCATGAAGACTGGATGCCCCAGGGGGTGGGAATTTTGAGGGTGGGGAGGTGGGAGTGTGGGGGGGTTGATAGAGGTTACATCCACAGAGAAGAAGGAGGAGGGGCGAGGGGATTGGGGGTTCCAAGGGGGTGGTGGGGGATGGGGTAAGGGGACAACATAGGAAATGTAAATAAATCATCCAATAAAAAAAAAAAGGAAATAGAAGTCATTAAAAACCTTCCAACCAAAACAAACAAACAAAAAAACAAAAAACAAAAAAACAAAAAAAAACAAAAACCAAAAAAAAGGCCTTATAGCTGAAGACATCACTTACATATTTTATCAAACATAGAGAAGTCAAGTTGATGCGAAACTAGCACCTTCAACACTTATTTCACAATTATGAAGGTAACAATGCCGAAGGTTAAAGTACCAGAATATTTTAGTTATTTATACTGAGGACTTTTCAGATGCTTTTCAGGTGCATGCCTTCCTGTTGTACTTTCACAGAGAAGCTAGCAAGAGAGACTAGAATGAGGAGGACAAAGAGGGAAAGGAAAAGTATGTTTTACTCTTCATCTGAGTGAACCATGATAATTGCATTAGGACTACTAGACCCTTTCCTTCTCATTTATCCTTGAAAACTACCCACAAACTCCAATGAAGATCACTGCAATGGCTTATTCACTACAAAATGATCAGCCTAGAAAACATATATAGTAGTACAATTATACAAATGCAGCATGATATATATACATATACAATTTATATATAATTTCACTACAGATTATATATATTATTTCATTAATTACATATCACCTATTTTACTTAATAAAACAGTATGTGTTTATGTATTTAATTATTTGATTACTAAATAATAATTAAATAATAATATATTATAAAATATATGGTTGTATGCATATTTACATGTAAAAGAGTTAAAAAGAGAGGTCATGAATTTGAAAAAGAACAAGGAGAAGTATGTAGAAATTTTTGGAAGGAAAGGAAAATAGAAAATTATATGATTATATAATCTCAAAAATAAAGGTAATAACCATAATAATGTATTCCATTTCAAATTTGTTGAAATTTGAGACTAAGGCATAACACAATTGTATGACATAATTTCTTTGAAATGATTGGGAAGAGGTGGCCAAGAGCTGATGCAATGTTGTAAAATGATGAATGTGCTCATTGGAAACTATAAATCTAGAATTAAAACCATCTTCTCAACACACAAACCTAACATGTTGTCCACCTTCCTTTTCATGTCCCCTTTCTAACAGTTACTAATAATTTGATGCCCTGCATTAAAATTCATGACAGGTAAAATCATATAGAGATGATATGTTATAGCAGTTAGAGCTTCTAATGTGTCCTGATATACACAATAGTCACTTAATGAGTGGTAGTTAATACACTGATGAAATCATTAACCTAGCAAATGTCATGCTGAACATACACTATACACAATCTTATTCCTTGGGTTTCACAATGCTATTAGAATGTTTCTAGGTTTTGAGTTACCAATATTAAAAATGCATTTCACATCATGTGTCTCCCTATACCTGGAATCAATGTGTGGCTTATGATTTACACAATTTCCTATTTTCATACAGTCAGTTCACATCAAGTTTCAGACACATTAAGCAAGTGCTCTTTTTGAAATCCTACCTTTGAGCTCTTCAGTTTAAAATGAAACCAAGGCCCCAGTGAGAGAAGATGCACCTAACCTCAAGAGACTTGAGGTCCCAGGGATTGGGGAGGTTTGGTGGGGTGGGGTGGGGACATCCTCTTGGAGACAGGGGCAGGGAGGAGGTATGGGATGGGGATTGGTCAGTCAGGGGTCAGACTAGGAGGGGGATGAAGTCTGGACTGTAAAAAAGTACTAAAGATCAAAAATAAACCAAAAAGATAGGACTGAATGAGGAGTACTTCTTAAAGGTATGCTTCAAAAGAGTGGACTGCTGCAGGGATTTGAACTGTTTCTTCATGAAATCAATCTAACTATCCTTTATGACAAAATTCTTGCTATTCCCTTACTTTTTGTCATAGCTCAGTCTCTATAGCAATTCATTCTCCAGTTTCCATATAAATTGCTGTTTCTTTACTTTCATTTTTCCTATCAGTGAAGATCCAAGGTTTCATCCACAAGCTGACTGTGTGTGTTATTGAACTGCCTCACTGGAAGTGTGCAATCTGATTGCCCTTTTATGTTCATAGTAGAGTTGCTATGATATTGTGGAAAAGTGTCACTGAACAGATACCCAATCTGTAAGTATTTGACAGTAAAATATTTTTTCTGATTCTGTGACTTAGGCTTTCATTTACTTGGTGATGACCTCTGAACCATAACTTTGAATTTTTAACGAAATGCTGTAGGCCATTTTTTTCTGATTCCATATGATTTGGTATTCTTTCAAGGAAAATTTGCCAAATATAAGATTACAAAATATATTTGGCTAGATATAATATTTATATCTCTTGTCTAGTTTGAGGATTTTAAAAAACAGTTTGAAGCAATTTTGCAACTTCACTTTTGTGCATATGGTGACTATTCGTTAAAAAGTTATATTTGCTATTTACAAGACTTAGTACCCTACAAAATATTTTCAGTGCACATGGACCTAATTCTGTGTGGAAATTCTACAAAGACACTGGGAATGTCTGTTCTCAGTCCAGTGCTCTATTGTTCAACTACCATTGATCAGTAGCAGGTTTTGAAAT